CCCCCCCAGATGGTGTTCAAGGCTTCAAGCCAATGCTGGGCACATACCCTTTTTATTGCGGTGCTTCAGGAAGTAGGGACTAAGAAACCAGATTACAACCTCCCCCGCAACCCCAGCAATCCAGCAATTTTTATCCAGTCGTGTTGATTGAATCCGTGGGGGTGAAACTCAGGGACCCAGAGCTGTGTTTTGTGCTCAGTCTGCAGAGCTCCACATGCTGCGTCTCCGCATCTGCTTGTCTCTGCGCGCGCGCGCGGCGTTGCAGCACCTACATCCTGACCTGAGGCCTGAGTCAGTGTGACCGCACAGGAATCTGTGACAGCCAGGATCCCTGGCACATCTCTCACAAAAGGCGCAGAGTCAGAGGGATTGTTTGAAGTCTACTCACCAGGACATTCATCTCTCCCCCCCCCCCTCCCCCCCCCCGTCTTTGGTTCTAAACATAATTGTGTTACAGTATGAGAAACAAACATAAAAAGATTTGTTTTTCTTTCTCCACTAATTGGCTTAGGGGGGTTCCCAGTGAGGCCACTCAGTTGTTAAATACTGCCGAGGGACTGGGGCTGAGGCTCAGCTGGCACAAGCCGGAGACCTCTGGGAAGAGGGAGCCTCAACTGAGAAGATGTTTCCATCAGGTCGGCCCGAGGGCATGTCTGTGGGGCATTTTATGGATCAACAGATGCGAGACTGCTCAGCTCACTGTGGGTAGGGTGTCCCGAGTTGACTAAGGAAGCTGGCTGAGGAAGGCATAAGGAGCTAGTCAGTCAACAGCCTCCCCAGTGCCTCTCCTTCGGCTTCTGCTTCTGTTCTAGTCCCTGATTCCCCCAGTGATGAACTTTGCCAAGATGAAACCAAGCCTTTCCTCCTCCACTTACTTCTGGTCGTGGTGTCTTATCACAGCGATAGAAACCTATCCGAGACGCCCAGCTTCTAACAGGTTAGTTTCCTTTAAATAAATGCGCAGGGAGTGGCTTAATGTGGACTCTAGAGGGGAGGCGTCAAAGCCCAGGCTCTTACATCGCTTCCGGGTTCATCACGCAGATGCCTGCTCCGCACTTGCACTTGCTCGGGTCGTCGTACGCTACCCCCATGTTGAGGCTCAGTAGCTGAACTAAAACAATTGCAAGTGATTCCAGGGTTACGGCTTTGGGGTGCTGAAAAGAAAACACACCAGACCACAAATGCGCGTGTACACACTGTGGGAGGCATTCCACCTGCGGCTAGGAAGAGGCAATTAATTATTAACAATAGCCACGTCGTACCGTGGAAGCATGTGTCTTGCTAGCCACAGAAGTACCATCCACCTTGCAACAGTGCGCTTACAGGCGACAGGCAAACACAGGAGTGAGCTAAAGACGTGTCTTTTGAGACCCTCAGAAAAAATAATTTAAATAAGTTTAAGTGGGACCCATTCCAGTTAGAATATTGAGGTGAAGAATAAAAATAAACTGCAAGGTGCAAGGTCTGGAGAGATGGCTCGGTGCCTCAGAGCATTTGCTGCTCTTCCAGAGGACCCAGGTTTGATTCCAAGCACCCACACAGATGCTCACAGCTGTCTATAGCTCCAGTTTCAGGAGATCTGACACCCTTTTCTGGCCTTTGAGGGCACTGCATGCTTGTGGTGTACAAGGATGCATGCATGCAAAAACACTCATACATGTGGAATAAAAAAAAAAAAAACAAGAAAGCAATCAATTTCTTTTTTAGAAATTGTGAGTGATTAGAAAATTCATAGTAGAGCTGAGCTTTTCCTCATGTTAAAGAACAGCCCAGAGCAAGCGTCTCATCTTCTAGAGCCAGAGAGTGCTTCTCCCATAGATCAGAAGTGACACAAGAATGACCATCGCCAGCCCCGCCCGGTGTCCTTCAAGTCAGCTGTCACACAAATGCTCACAAGTCATGAAGGGAAAGAAGTGGTGTTTATTTGCCCAGGAAACAGTCTCACCTATTACAGAAACTATGATAGTGGGGCAGAGTGCTGTGTCTGATAAAGCATGCGTTCGTTTTACGTATGTGTACATGAATTATTTTGTTTGTCTGTGGTGTATGCCTTCTCCTTCTGTGTGTGTGTGTGTGTGTGTGCGCACACACACACACACGCATGCACATGGGAGCATGCTCAGCTGGGCATGCGTGTAGAGGCCAGATATCCACCTCAGCTGTCTTCCTCTTTGCCTTCCACTTTATTTTTTTTTGAGACAAGGTCTCTTGTCAGTCTTGGAGCTCGCTGTGGATGGTACCGGCTGCTGGGGAGCTCTAGACTGCTCCCCTCTCTGTCCTCCCAGCACTGAGGTACTCTGGGCACTAACACCCTCAGCCTTCTTACATGGTGACTGGAAAGCCAGGTCCTCATACTCACACAGAAGGTACCTTATCCACAGAGTCATCTCCTGAGCCCTGATCATTAATCTGTCTGTAATAACCATTACACAGTTGATGAATGTAAAGCAAGTGGTATACTTGAATATATGTATATGTACATACATATATAATTTTTTTTGTGTGTTGAATATCTAGAACTTAAAAACACACACAGCTCATTCTCACTTGCTTCTCAACTAACAGCTGTGCTCGGGTTGTGTTTTTCCATACACAACAGGACAATAGAGTGTAATGCCTTGCTGTGCATGACCTGAGGGGTTATGGAAAGAGAAAGGGTGGTGAGTGGGGACACATTAGTGAGCCAAGCTGCACCTATGTATTCCAACAGCTCACTCCTGCAGACATTGGCTGTTTCTGGGGTTTCCCAGCTAAAGATCAGGGATGATTATCCCAAAAGAATGTGGGGAAGAAGAAAAGTGCTGGGGAGGGCCTCTGCCAGTCACCGCTCTTCCCCAGAACCACTGTTCTTGGCCATGAATCTCAGGCTTTCCCGTGGCTCTGCAGCTGAATCTTCCTTGGTAGCCAGTCTACCTTCAGATAGATGTGTTCTTCCGTTTCGTTAACCATTGAAGCTCTTGCTTCATGTTAGCTTTGTGTGTGTGTGTGTGTGTGTGTGTGTGTTTGTGTTGTATGTGAATGTTTGAGGAAGTCCTACATCCCACCCTTAGAGACCACTGAAATCACTTTCTCCATAAAAGCAACAGTTCCCAAAATACAATTTATGGATTTTAAATAAGAATTTCCTCTTTCCCAGCTCCACCGTGCTCCATTTTGCTTTCTAGAAGGAGAACATTCTATGCTGCCTCTCTGGAACTCCAGCAGACACCATACAAACACAAACATAAAAGAAGAGAGCAAGTTCTCTAGTGAGAAGCACCAAGGCAAGGTGGTATCAGAACTGCACCAGTGTTAAAGACCTAGGCGCCTGACAATAATGCGAATTTTAATGGAAGTAATATAAGAAGAAAATCTTTAATTTTATACTTTTTACACAGCAGCCTGTTATACATTATTTCAAGATTTATTTCTGAGTGTGTGTGTGTATGTGTGTGTGTGAGTGAGAGAGAGAGAGACAGAGAGAGAGAGAGAGAGAGCAGTGCTCATGGAGGCTACCAGAGAGCATCAGATCCCTTGGAGCTGGAGTCCCAGCTAGTTATGAGCTAAAGGATGTAGTGAGTGCAGGGAACTGAACTGGGTCCTCTACAGAGGAGCGAGTACTCTCCGGCAAAAGGTCCTCCTCCCACTATGCGTTTAGTCAAGCAGATTAAAGCATCGCATACCAGAGCAACAGCCCCTGCGTAGTCCTTGTCACACATCTTCCCTTGAAAGGTGGCGCCGACGTAATCAGAATTCTCTCTGTAGCTAAATTGAAAACAGATTATTATCACAGACTTTTGCAAAAGTATGCACAGTTAATGCTCTATTTTCATAGGACAGATTTTAGTTTTGCTCACTGATTCAAACCCTTAAAATTTCCACTAACATTTTTGTGACATGGGTTAGGGTGTGCCCAATGTTCTTGCTTTTTCTAAAAATGATAAAATCAGTTAAAAAGCAGAAAGTGCATTTTCTTTTCTTCTTTTAAAGATTTATTTATTTATATGATTGCTTTATCTGCATGTACACCTACATGCCAAAAGAGGGCACAAGATCTCATTATAAATGGTTGTGAGCCACCATGTGGTGGCTGGGAATTGAACTCAGGACCTCTGGTTAAGAGCAGCTCTTAACCACTGAGCCATCTCTTCAGCCCAGAAAGTGCATTTTCATATAGATTTCTATGAATTTAATGCAGTGACTATTTTAGAATAAAATGGATATATTCTCTGAAAAAAATATGATAAAAATAAATAAAATTCCTTAAAAAACGACAAAATAAAAGGCAATGAACCTGGCACGGGGCACAGTCAGGGAAGAGAAGTCTCCTCACACCCTGGGGGAGTTAGCCTGCCAGACTGCAGGCATGCATACTACAGAACACTAAAAGCTCTGCATTTCCTCCACGTTCTGAAATTACCAATGGTAGAAAACAAAGTGTCAATTAAATAGGAGAGGCTTGCATACTAAAAATTTCAGCACAGTATGGCTGCATTACCTTGACGGTAATTAGGAGAGTGTTTCTTCACTTGTGGGCTGAGACCCCTTTGGCAAACCTCCATTGCCAAAAATACTTACATTACAATTCATAACTGTAGCAAAAATACAGTTATGAAGTAGCAGTGGAAATCATTTTAGGTTGAGGGTCACCACAACATGAGGAACTGTATTAAAGGGCACAGCTACACCTCTTTACCTTAGTTTTTAAGACATGGTCTCTAACTGACCTGGAGCTTGCTGCTTGCTGCTTGGGCTAGACTGGCTGGTCAGAAAACTCCAGGGATCTGTCTGCTCTAAACTCTCAGCCCTGAGGTCACAGAAGCACAGGCCACCTGCCTTTCACAAGGGTGCTGCGACTCTGAACTTAGGTCCTCGCAAATGCACAGTACCCACTTTACCCACTGAGCCATCTGTTCAGTTTCTCCTTGTTGTTGTTATACTAATAATAATAAACTATGCTATATATATATATAATTATAATGTTGTTAATAATATTATTTTAAAGCAAAGCAAAATGATTGCAACCCAGACAGGTCTTCCAAGCAGTTATGAACTTGTGATGCACAACTAGGGTCCTTTGCTGGAGCGATGAGTGCACTTTGGTAAGAAGGCACTTGGAAGCAGAACTGAAGAGGTGAGCTCAACTACAGACCGACAAGCGAGGGACCCCAATCATCCTAATCATGGTAAGTAAGGTGCTGTGATAAGGGTTGCATGTATAGACAGAGGGGAGAAATCACAGAGAACTTGTTTTCTCTCTGAAACGCCTGTGTATTGTGGGAAGGGGGGCCGCACATGCCAGCTTTCCTTGGCATGACCTGTCATAGCTTGCGAACGCACATACATGAGTAAGAAGGCCATGTCATGGGGACGCAGAACAAGGTAAGCCTTTTTCCACTTCAGGAACCTGTGGAGCAACTGGTCAGCATCGCCAGTGGTCGAGATTTTGTTTTCATCCATCCAAAACTCCAGGGAAGTCAGAATTACTGTAAGATTAAAGGGGGCAAAGATCTAAAATAGAACACAGACAGAAAACCTGTTCAAGCAACACGATCTAAAGGGACTGGGCAAAAGAGCTTTGAAAAACAAGCTCAAGTCATGCACTTAAACCTGCAGTGTAGGTCGCTATTAAAAGTGTTAGTTACTCAGCGGTAAGTGTCCTGGTCATAAAAGCCATACTGGATCCTTGAAATTAGATTCATCCATTTTATTTTCTTTGTATTTTGACTGCATTTAAGTATGGGCACCAAGGAAGTCAGAAGAAGATGTCAGATCGCCTAAAACTAGTTAAAGACGGTTGGGAACTACCATGTGGGTTCTGGGAATTGAACCCAGGTCCTCCACAAGAGCAACAAGTGCTCTTAACCACTGAGACATCTCTTTAGCCCCTTGGATACTTGAAAATGCTTGTGTTTCTAGAACTAAGCCCCCCCCCCCCCCCGAGGGATGTCTCTTCGTGGGTGACCCTTACAATGACCTACTGTGCAAGGTAGGAGGGCAGAAACTTCAACCTCAACTTGGTGGCCCTCACACCACCTAGCATGCATCTTAATGCAGCACCCCAAAGAGGGTATGGGGGTTATTAGAACAGCAGCAAACGTGGTGGTTTCAGGGGTAGTGTCCCTCAGAGCGCTGGCATGTGGATGCTGGCCGCCACTCAGTAGCACTGTTTGGGGAGGTTTAGGAGGTGTGGCCTGGTGGGATGAAGTATTTCCCTGGAGGTGGGGCTTAGAGGTTCCAAAGCTGCACACCGCTCCCAGTGCACTCTCCCTGCTTCCTGCTTTCCGTTCCAGCTCTAGATGACATGCCTGTTACCTGTAGCCATGCTCTTTCCGCCATTAAGAACTCTAACCCTCCGACACTATGAGCCCAAAGACACCCCCCCTTCTGTAAGTTGCCTTTGTTATGCTTTTCACTTTTTTTTGTTTAAATTCACTTTACATCTCAATTGCAGGCCCCTTCCCCCTCTTCATAGCCTCTCCTTCCTCCCTCTCTCTTTCCCTCACCCCCTTCTCCTACTCCTCAGTAAAGGGGAGGCCCCCCACCAACCCATCCTGGCACATCAAGCAACATCAGGACTGAGGTCACCCTAGTCCACTGAGGCCAGGCCAGGCAGCCCCACCAGAGGGACGTGATCAAAAGCAGCCAACAGGGTCCATGTCAGAGACATCCCCTGCCCTCCTTACTAGTTGTTTTATCACAGTGATATAAAAGCAACTAAGACCGCAAGTGTAAAAGCATTTTTAAAAAGACAAAAATGAAAATACTTACAGCATTTGCCAGTCCAATCAACTGGAAAATCTTTTGAGTGACAATGGTTGAATCAGCCCCGATATGATCATACTATAAAATAAAATTACCAAATACATATACATATGTATATACATACACATATTTGCTTAACAGTGATGGCTGCAATTCTGTTAGAACTTTAATATAACAAAGTAATACACTGTTTAAATCACTAGCATGTTTTAATTAACATTATTTTAGTTGTACCATGATACATAGTGTAAAAAATGGAAAATAAAAATATCTGAAAAAAAAACACAGATATAATTCCACTATTAATAAATTAAGAATAAGGAATGGATACAGAAATTGTGGTACATTTAAACAATGGAATACTACTCAGCAACTAAAAACAAGGAAATCATGAAATTTGCAGGTGGGACCTAGAAAAGATCATCCTGAGTGAGGTATCCCAGAAACAGAAAGACACACACAGTATATACTCACTTATAAGTGGATACTAGACTTATAAGATAGGATAAACATACTAAAATCTGTACTCCTAAAGAAACTAAACAAGAAGGAGGACCCTGGGTAAGAAGATCAATCCTCACTCAGAAAGACAAATGGGATGGACATTGGAAGTAGGAGAAAATGAGAAGCAGCATAGGAGCCTGCCGTAGAGGGCCTCTGAAAGACTCTACCTAGCAGTGTATCAAAGCAGATGCTGAGACTCATGGCCAAACTTTGGGCAGAACACAGGGAATCATATGAAAGGAGGGGGAGTTAGTAAGACCTGGAGAGGACAGGAGCGCCACAAGGACCAAATATATCTGGGCACAGGGGCTTGTCTGAGACTTATTCTCCAACCAAGGGCCATGCATGGTTATAACCTAGAACACCTGCTTGGACATAGCCCATAGCATTTCAGTATCCAAGTGGCTTCCGTAGAAAGGGGAACAGGGACTGTCTCTGGCATGAACTCTGAGGCTATCTCTTTGACCTCCCCACCACCCCATGGGAGGAGCAGCCTAGCTAGGACACAGAGGAGGACATTGCAGCCAGCCCTGGTGAGACCTGATAAGCTAGGGTCAGATGGAAGGGGAAGAGGACTTCCCCTATCAGTGGACTTAGGGGCAGGGAGGAGATGAGGGAAGGAGGGTGGGATTGGGAGGGAATAAAGGAGGGAGCTACAGCTGGGATACAAAGTAAATAAACTGTAATTAATATAAAAAATTTAATAAAAAAGAAAAATAAATTAAAAATAATAGTTCCAGACCAAAAAAAAAAATAGTTCCAGACAGAAAATGTTAGTTTTAAATGATTTAGATGTGACTACCTCAGAGTTTTGCCTGTATGTGTACCTGTGCACCTCATGCATGCAGTGCTTAAGGAGGCCAGAAGAGGGCACTAGATCACAGGGGCTGGACTTAACAGGCTGTTGTGAGCTCCCACGTGGGTGCTGGGGACTGAACTTAGGTCGTCTGAAAGGTCAGCAAGTGCTCTTAACCACAGAGTCATCTCTCCAGCCCCAGGAAGTAACTTAAGACTAGGAAGATCCCCAGGATCTGTGTGTGAAAAGCTCCCAAAATGTTACATAAGGAGTGATCCTATTTATACAACATTTTGGGAGAAAAAGAAAAAAAGATGTAGAAATGAAGAACACATTAGTGGATTATGAAAGCCAGTGAGATTGGGCTGAGGGAGGTGTGTGGCTAGGAAGCAGAATGTAGTGGCTCAAGAATCTTGACCGCATTGGCGGCAGTTGCTGGCAGCTGCAGCATTGGCAGAGACGTCTGTGAAAAGAGATGACAGGATGTGCCCGTGTTCTTGCAAGTATGTGTAAATACGTACCTGTCCTCAAACAAGTAGGTAAACTAAAAACCAAGGAACTGTTGTAATGAAAGACCCCAAACCTCCACTTAGGACAAAAGGAATAATGAAGGAACAACAACAACAGCAAAAGAGTGCAAGAAATTGGTAGTTTATTAAAAGCCAGTAATGTAGAGTTATCAACTCTCCTCTGTCAAAAGTCGGTTTTGTGAGACACGGGAGAATTGCTTTTCTAATGATGCACTGCTAACCATGATGATGATGAGGATGATGACGGTAACTAACAAGACAGATACAGTTGGGATGTACTCACCATTTGCTTCTCAACTATAACGTGTATTTCCAGATAGTGAGTGAAAACTTTCAGTGGCTGAAAAAAAAAAATCCACAAGCTCTATTCAGCATTCAAGAATGACCTCAGTCTCTTTAGTTTTATACGACTGCTGATGAGATCAATGTGGTGAGACCTTCATATTCAGAAATAGAACCAGAGACACTAGCAAAGCAAGCTTTCCAGAGCCCTCTCACCTGTGTCCCCAGTCACTTCTCGGCACCTCATCAAACATTTATTTTATCCAGAAAACAACTCACCTCTCCCTTTCTCCGTATTCTCATTAATCTCATATGTAGTTCTGTTAGCTGAATGACATTTAAAAATTATCCTTATTTTAAAATTGAAAGAACTTATGTGTACTTGGGTGTGTGTGTGTGTGTGTGTGTGTGTGTGTGTGTGTGTGTATGTAAGATGTGTGCATGTGTGTGTGTGTGTGCATCACGGGTGTGTAGCGCCTATGTTTGTGATTCTCTTGGCTATCTTTTAGCAGTTAGTCCCCAGAGCAGGTACAGGAGAATTCACACACATCTTGCTTGTGAGTTTTCACACCTGCTTTCAGATAATGGATCTCTGCTCTACTTAAGACTTTATCTAATTTTATCATTCAATAAATGAGGACCCAGCCATCCCCAGACCTTTCAGGTTTCCTTTCTGACCACACAGTGCTGTCTGCATGGTTATTTCTGTCGAACTAGTGTTATATCTGCCAATCAGCTGTTTTCATGTCAGGCGGGGACCTCTGGTTCCTGTCACCTCCATTGTCACACACCTCTCTGGATATCCTTCTTTGTTCCACCTTCCAAATGAACATCCGACACTTGTAAACATGTCCTGTTAAAAAGCACTCAAGCATATCCGGGATGGAGGGATGCATTAATCTTTTAGTGGTTATAAAATGAGTTAACTGTGGTTTTCTAAGCAGAGTAGAAATCATCCTTAAAAGGTTGTGACTTATATTTCCAAAGATGATGATAGACCCAAAGCAGGTGAGTGAAAAGGAGAAAGGACATTGCCTATTGCAAACATTGGTGGCAGGAACAGCCATGGTGATGTCCCATGAAGTGAGGAATGTAATATACATGGAAGTAGAATAATCATAGCAGCACAAAGTAGATTTGCAGGCCTTAAAGAGTTCGACGTTCACGGCTGATGAGCCCCTACTTCACATGTAACTAGATCATGACAGAGGCTGAGTTCTGGGAGTGCAGAAGACACCTTCAGTCTGGAGAATAATCTGGGAGCTCGCTAAAGTGTGAAATACACTTAGCGGGTGACCTAGCAACTCAGTTCCCAGCATATACCTGAGGGAAATGAAAGCTCACATCAGCACAAACATTTGTTCCAGGCAGCACTGTATTATTTAAATAGCGAGGACCACCCAATTGCTCCAACCTGATAATCAGTTAAATGTGGTATACTCCTGAAATGGAATATTATGCAAACGTAAAAAGGAATTAACATTTCAAAATACTACAACTATGAGCACATTGGTGGGTTAAAAAAAAATCACAAAAGAGACACATTGGATAATTCCATTTGTATATAGTGTCGTGAGTTGATAATCCTATAAATGCAAAAGTGTGTAAGCAGTTTCCAAGAAAAGGAGGTCAAAATGGAAAAAGAGGGACTGTGCTTGTAGATCTGTCACTGTATTTAACTGTCAAAACAGATACCAACAAGATACAGAACAGCAGCGATGGGTGTGTGTCTCAGTAAGTCCTTACAGATGTGTATAAGGGCTTATCACTCACAGTTGTAGCATTCGCGCAAGCTTTGTACTTACTGTGCAGTATGACAGTATAATTTATACTACAAAATACACAAAACAGCACGACAGTTTAAAGTTTCTTAGAGGATAAAAATAAAGCCATTTTGGAATAGTTGATTAATAAAAACAGTGTAAGAGGAGGAACAATGACATGACTGAGAAATTACTTAATCCATGATAGTCTACACGTGTGCATTAAAACTGAGGCCACGAATGGTTGAATAAAACTAAGTCGCTACACAAGGAAACAACACACTGTTTGGAAGAAGCAGGGTTTCACCGAGACATCTGCGTCTTTAAAATACTCACACACATACACATACACACACACACACACACACACACACACACACACACACACACACACA